TGGCTGAAAGACTTCCAAGCTCTCTCCTACTTTCTGCTCCTAAATGTGCATCTTCCTCAGTTATTAAGAATTCATCCTTTCCTATGGGCTGAAAGAGTACGGAAAATCCCTGAGTTTGTCAAAGCACTTGGTACCTTAGAAGTCAGTTCTGTCTCTGTACTATTGCCAGAATTGCAGAATAACCTTCGAATCCTAACTTTCTTGGAGAAGAGAGATACTTCGCTCCAAATAAGCACTGTGGAGAAGCAAAGGCGTATTGGTGTTCCTTCCTCTCTGGTGCTTCATGCGTAAGTGCCATGTCTGTCCCCAGGACTGGGAAGTGGGTTTTCTGGCTGCATCTTAACACTCTGTGAAATGTTAGTGGTATTTTACTTCTCCCAGAAGAGCACAGGGCAAAAGTCAGGATTGCAGTGATTATCTCTGAACTGTGTTTAGCTGTATTCATGAATAAATAACATCCAGGAGAGGGTAAACATTTTTACACTCCATGGGTTCCTAAATAATTTGTTTCTCATTTATATCTGCATAACACCCAGGAGTAAAATTTCTGCAAGTAATTAAATTGTTCTGTGTGATAAAAGTGCAAATGAAATCAAAAGACAAATTTCTGTACTTGTAGAAGCAGCAGTATCAAAGATGACTTAGAAAGGCAATAAGGAGCTGAAGAGAGGATTGAAAAGGAAATGATTGCATGGTCCAAGTCTTAGGTACTGCTGACAAATCAACGTCTTGCAATGTGAATTGCTGTATTCCTTCAGCAGCAACTGAGTCTCTCAGAAAAATATATGTTATTCCCAACCTTTCAAGAGCTGCTCTCAATGCTACATCTTAAATCAGACTACTTTTCTAGCTGTTCTTAATGCATAATAAAAACAGGATGGAAAAATAAATGTTCTTGTTGGTTTTTCTGAGTGTAGCAGAATCTGTTAGTTCCTTTTCACTTTTACTGTTCCAAATGTTTCACAGCAAAGGCAAACTTGCCAACTCCAATTCCAATTAACTTACATTGGTTTTGCTATTTTAAATACTTTTTTTATCATTACATCCATTAATGAAAGAATGCTCCTTACCCAGACAGAAAGGATTTAAAGGAATGGACAAGACCACAAAGCACATAAATTAACTTTCTTTTCTAGACATAGTTTTTCTTAGACATAGGCAGCAGTGCATCAGTATCAGCAGAACAGGTTGATGAAAATCAATGTGTAAAATAAATACTTTGATTTTCCATTTACAAATCTAGCCCCAAGACTTGCATGCAGGTTGCACAACTGGGAGACTCAGTAAAACTCATTTAACGGAAGTATTGCCTAGAACAGAAAGAAGCTTCTTTCCTCCAGTCATGCTGCCCACAATACACACAGAGGGAGATTGGGAGATTGAACAGAACACCAGGGGAGAATGGTGCCACTGGGATAAAAGATTTTCACCGCAATTCACATTTTGGAAAGTTCCATGGTGAAATGGTGGCAGGAACAGAGCTAGACTTCAAGCTAAGCAACTGAATTCAGTAATTTTCTTGCTTTAGAAATGTTTCTTAATACACAACAGCAAGTCCTTATTAATGAATTCTATGCAACTCAGAATGGAAGGAAAAGCTACTGAAAAATGGTAACATCTCAAAAAAGTGCAACAGAACAGATCTATTGAAAAGAACTTTTTTTTTTTTTTCAGTCACAGATTTAAGTAGTCAAAAAATAATCCGAACACTGAAGTTGTCTTTTATACTCTGCAGTTGGACCTGTAAAGTGTCACGGGGGTTTCTTTAGTGAAATATCACAGTGTACTGGGAAAAGAAAATCAAGTTTTTGTGGTAAATTCATACTGGGCCTGTTTCATTTATTTTCTGTTGGTTTATGGGCACTTGTTCATCAGAATTTATTTCAAGTAAACTCAAGCTGCCCTGGGTTTATAGACCTTGAAGTCACACTCCATTCACAGTTATTGATATAATTAAAAAATGAAACTTTATACTGGAAGGACCAATGTTACGGACAAGAACTGCAGCTATAAACTGCAAGGTATGGCCTTGCACAGTATGCACCTCCCTCTGAAAGGGCAAAAGACATGGGGAATATTCTCCTCCCATTTCTTCTTTTTTTCCCCTCCATTTCTGCCAACGTATAGTCATTCTTAGATAATGAGATGAGACTAGGGCTTTTTGATTCCTCTCACAACTTGTATTTGACTTCAAATTTAACCTTCATTGTCTTGTGTTTCCAACAATTTTACACCACACAGACTTGCAACATCTCACTTATCTTCTCCTAGGAAATATGTCAATAAGTGCACTGTATGATATAAATGCTCAAAATGACATGCAAGCCTCAATGATTAAGAATGCAATGTGTTTCACTCTCTGTCATTCAAGTGACTTGTTACTTCACAAATTAAATCAAACACTAAAGTCCATTTAAATCATCTGTAGCTTGTTCGACTATTTGCTTCAAAAATTCTGCTTTCAGGATGATGATGACTTAATATTTAATCATGTATTTCCAGACAAAAACAGCAATAAGAAAACCTTATACTAATCTCACTCTTTTAAAAGATAAGCATTTTGTTTTAAACAAAAGAGTAACGTCTCATTTAAAACAAAGAGGAAAAGATGCAATTCTCTAAGGGTGATCTGGCATTTTTCATTTCAAAACAATAAAAGTTAAAACATTCAAAATTAGAATGGAATTGCCTGAAATTGTGACATAATTGTGGATTAGTTAGTTTGGGATTTCTGGTCCCTTGAAGAAAACCTGAAATATTGTATTTAATAGTAATTTAAACAAACTTCATTCCTTCAGGGTTGATTTTCGCAGCATCTGAAATCTAAAAGCTATTTTTTGTACAGCTTGAGAAGGTTTATTAGCTTTAGGAGACCTTTAAGTAGACTCTGAAAGCACTGCTTGCCTTGCCCTTCAATATAACACAGAAAACTAGACAATGAGTATTTGGATGTCAGAAAAAAGACAACTTTCCTTTGGAAAAAATTAACACAACTGAGTATGCCAAACAGGCAACCTGGACTGTTTTTGTCATTTCTAGCATCCCTGAGGCATGAATGACAGAGTGTTCAGCCAGATTAAGCTACATTAGTTGCTGGGAAGCTCTACTATTTTGAAATGCACACTGTAAATACAGATTTACCTGTTTACATTTTGAAAATTTGGACACAAGAATCCTTTTATTCAGTACCTATGATATTTCAATGATGACTAACTCTAGGAACAATTTCACATGCACAGCTGGTACTGCAAGACTTGCTAATTAAATATCAAGGTAAGTAATTAGACTCTCAAGGGTTCTGAAATTACAGAAGTCTTGAAAGGTGCTGAGGTAAGACTTATCATTCCTGACAGACCTATAAAAACACAGCAACAAGCAAAGTGCACCTGTAAATCAATGACAGGGAGCTTAAGTACCATGGTAAAACTATGGAGTTAAGGCTTCTATCTATACAATGTGTGCAAGGCAGAGGTGTATAAATTCTCAGCAGAACAGCTGAAGTTATGTTGAAAGCAGTAAATAGTGATGCTATTTAATGATAGACTGTGATTTGACAACATATTTTTATGTATAACTTCACATACATAGTTTAATCCAGAAATGTCTGTCCACATAAATTCATAACTTTTCCCCCCACCCCAAAAAATCGCATATATAGTCATATAAACTCCTATATATGCATAGATGCAGACACACAGTTGGTGTGTTGCCTTCCTTTATAATAATACTGATCTTCCTGATCAGAGGATGATTTATAGTTAATTGATGAAAAGTTTGTCAGTAGAACCAACTATTATTAATGTTGTATATGTGGCCAGATGCCTCTTTTTTACCTTTAAGTGATGATCAGTACAAATATATCAGCAATAATAAGTATTCATAAAAGCAAAATCTTGCACATTACAGTCCTATCCAGCAGGAAAGATTGTTAATTGGTGCCAGCTATTAAATGTAAAATTGCTTCATGTTTCCCATAGGAAGAAGTAATGCAAGTTAAGGAGGACACCATAACATTTATATGTAAAATCATTTGTGTAAGTTGGAATTTTATAAAAATATTAATCATAGACATTTAAGTGCAGAAAAATTCATCTCTTTGGATTTCTCTCCTGGTAAAACTAGAAACTAGTTTTGAAATGGCACCTTGTACAGAGAAAATAAAGGAACCGTTCATAGAGATCCCTGTTATTCCTCAGTATTCACAAGTATATGTGAACAAGAGACCTCCCAGCATAGATCTATCATGTCTAGTTTCATTTTAGCTATAGAAAGAAAACCTTTGGTGTAAACATGTGACATATTGTGCTGAAAATGGTAGCTGGACTAGTATTTGACATAGCTGAAAAGAGAAAGATGGGAGTGAAAATTTTACATGAGTCGCAAGTTTTCTTTGTGTGTTTGGAGCACAAAGCAGAGCTCTTCTTCATTTGTGCTTACTGGAAACTATGGTAGCTAACAGATGTTGTGATGCCTGCAGAAAACAACAAATAAGGATCACCAGCCAAGGGAACTGTTAGGCTCTGAAATCACACAGGATGCTACAGTTGCTCATTTCCTATAACCTAGTATTACTCAAATCACATCTACAAACTGGGGACAAGAAATACACTTGCAGACCACAATAAAAATAGATACCAAGGTCAATAAAAGTTTAAAATGAGGTGTCCAAATAAAACACTCTGTAACCTTATGCCATGATTAGATGTACAGAAAAGAAGTGATATTTTAGATACCCAAATATAAGTAAGCAAATACATTACTTGCAAAAATCAATACAAATAAAGTCAGGGAAGATTTTCATGCTATTTTTCTTAGGAAAAAGAGGATCTCCAGTCAAGAAAAAAATAATTAAGAGAGTTACATTAAAAGCAAAAACTATACAAAAGCATATTCAGCTTTCCTTTGACTAACTTTAAAAATTAATTACAAGAAAATTATTAATGGATGTTGAAATGCTAGTCCAAATAAAAAAGGCTAAATATCATTATTATTTCTTTCAGGTGGTAAAAATGATGATTGTGGTTGTGCTGACATTTGCTGTCTGCTGGCTGCCCTACCACATTTACTTCATAGTTACTGGGATCTATCAACAATTAAATCGCTGGAAATATATTCAGCAAATCTATTTAGCCAGCTTTTGGCTTGCCATGAGCTCTACAATGTACAATCCCATTATCTACTGCTGTCTTAATAAGAGGTAAGAGCTGGTTATGAAATGAGGTGCATAACTTCACCAAGAATATAAACTGCTTAAATGGAAAAAAGACAAAATTTTTACTTAAATAGTTTTCAGTTAATGAGAAAGAAAACAGAAGAAAGAGAACAAAACCTTCCTTTAGGTTTGTACTTGAAAAGATTCCCAAAAACCTGAAGGTAGACTTCCAGTAAATATTTTGGTCTACCTAAAATTTCAGAGCAAAATTCAGTTTTCAGAAACCAATCCTTCCCATGTTCACCTGCAAAATTTAAAAAACTATTGCAGTTTAATGTTTTTTGATCTGCAGAATATTAAAATAAAGAAGATGGTAATTAGTGATATAGAGTGAAAGCTGTATGTTCATTAATTGTAGCCCAAATTTTGTTTTGCTGGAACAATGTAATAGAAAATGTGATTTATTGTGTTTTGTATATCTCAGTTTTAGAGTTTTACTGTGCTCCAAAATCAACAAAAGGTTGATAAATATTATACAAATATTTATATTCTCATTACTTAATAATAAGTTACAGTATTGTTTGATAGCAACAAAATTATGCTCTGAATTTCAAAGGCACTGCATCTGTTGAGTTTGGTGACATTTTACAGATACTTACTAGTCTAAGACTACTGCATTGCAGAATGGACTCAAGTCTTTCAACTTACAGGACCAGGATCTACACAAACATCCTGGCCATCCTATTCACCAGTATTTCTTCTAGCATTACTGGAAAAATGTAGAACCAAGAACAATTAATTACTTCAATAACTCAGTCAGTATGAATCGATATTGAATAAGTGATCTTAAATACTATTTCAAATCTCTTTTGACTTAGCAGCCAGTGCCAAGTTTAATTACTGTCAAACTTTATAGCAAGTGCAAAGTATTTCTAAATCCCCACTAAAGATCATATGGAACCTGACAAATGGAGTCTAATCAAGAAAGAAGTGAACAAATCCTAATGACTTTTTATTGGTGTAAAAACACTGGCTTCTTCCTCCTTGATGAGGATAACTTATGATGATTAACTTTTATGATCTTTTTTTAAAAAGACAAAGTAATGACTAAATTCGTAGAGCCTTGTGCCTCTTTTCATCATTTACAACTGTTTAAAGATGAGGTAAAATTTTAGCATGTCAGAACAAAACCATAACTCAAAATTTCCATTATTTTTAACAGAAACCAGATTTCAGTAATTGTCCAGTGTCTGCGAAATCAAAGGCAAGGAAGAACAAGGCCTAATATTTTACAATTACTACCATAAAACTTCTAAACCAATACAACTTCCTTAAACTTTTTATGGCACAGTTACAAAAGTATTTATAAAAAAATAACATCTCTGATGTGGCTTATGTTGACACTTGCAAACTGCAAAATTAAGTGTCTGGATTAAAGACTACAGACAAAGAAAAATTAATATTTTGAGACATACTAAAGGTCACCTTGTTCAGAATTTGATGCAAGAATGAAATCCCAGTGACGGTTTTCTTATAATTAAGTTCCATATTGAAATGAAGATATCAGAATGTCTGCTTCCTTTTCATTGAGTAGGAAAATAGAGCTGGTTGCTGGGAGTCAGATCAATTCATGCCTCTGCTGGATCTAGTATCAGAGCTGGAACATCTATTCCCAGCCTCATCTTCCAGGCTAATTAGGATATTACGTATCTAGATAAAGAGAGCATTATTTCAAGATGAAGAAACATGCCCAGAATTAGAAAGTGGATGGAAGATAACCAGAAAAGTAAAAAGTAATACAGTTTAAAGATGTTTTGGTTTTACAGTTTCAATCACTAAATCCATTTCCATCAGAGGTTGTTTCAGTATTTTTCCAAAATGTAAACAGAATAATGTAAAAATGTAAACAAAGAATGCTGTTTAGCAACCTACCTGCTCAGCTGTCATCAAGTGAGAATTCCATGGCGAACTTAAAAATTTGAGAAAGGAAAAGCCACTTCTGTGAGATCCGTTAACTGTAACAGAACAATTTATGTGATTTTTTTACCTGCAGTTATCACTGTGGGAGTTGAACCATTGCTCAAAAAAATTTACAGACAGGATAAACAACAAGAGTTGATTGCTAAAACAAAGCAAGAGAAGCAAGACAAGTGAGAAAGTCAGATAAGCTTTAGGTCCAGATGAAAAGACTTTCTTTTTCCAGTTATACACAGATATATAGGGAATTGCTTTCCCAATATATTAAACTTTTATTCTGGAAATGCATACACACAAAACATAGCAATGTCTTTACGGTGAATCCCCATCTCTGTATGAGAATTGCAAACATTGATGTTCTAAAGCCTCAAAATGCCTGCTTGTATATTGCTTACATTTAGACTTCAACTTTCTAGGACGCTCTTAATTATTAACAATTATTTTCCAAATATTTTACATGAACAATTATTAGTCATTACATCATTCACATACAAGTATCTCTGCTACAGAGAAACACAGAAGGGACATTGAAATTTGGAAACTGGGATGGTATTTTAGAGAAAAGAATGTTAAAAGTTTCTTGCTGGAAAAAAGATGAAAATATAGGTGCAGATTTCACTAGAGGTCAAATTTCTGTGAAAACACTTCTATGGCAGCTGATGTTTGTTTACTTTGCATGGGCAAAGGACAGGAAATTCATTATAATGAAAATACCACTGCTAAAATGCAGGTAAAGCATATAGAAAATCAGAAATTGAAATTAGTTGTTACCAGTATCTTTTTTGCCCTAGTCAGACTTCAGTCAAGGAAATTTCCACTGACTAGACCAGACCCAGGCCTAGGGGCAGGATAACTGGCCAAGTCAGTGTCCTGCCAGCACTGTGTATGTTTTCAGATGAAGGCCTGGGGCTGGCTCTCACAAGCACAGACTTTCCCCAGGCTTCTTCCCTCCTAGGTTCCGAGCTGGCTTCAAGAGAGCTTTCCGTTGGTGCCCCTTCATTGAGGTGTCCAGCTATGACGAGCTGGAGCTGAAGGCAGCCAGGTTTCACCCCATGCAGCAAAGCAGCCTCTATGCTGTGTCCAGGATGGACTCCAGCATGACAGTGGTGTTTGACACCAACGATGGGGACAGCATGCATGCCAGCCATAAGAAAAGAGCAGCTCCAAGGGACCTGAACTTCAATGGCTGTTCACAGAGGAATTCCAGGACTGTCTCCACGGCCTCAAGCCTCATCAGTTCACTGCACAGATCAGCAGATGCTTATTCCTAAGCATTTCAAGTTGCTAGAAGGGCAACACTGGACAATGTTCTCCTACTTTGGGACTTGGTTTTCATACCACAGGAAACAAAATGGATTCCATTAACAAACCTTAGCTATAAATATTGTGAGACTTTTGGGAATCTCTTTTTTTGCTTTGGAGAGAAAGAGGAATTTGAAGACATAAGTATATCTCAGTCCAAAAGCAGAGTCACACCTCATGCACAAATATGTTTGTAGGGATTATCCAAAATAAACCAATGGCATTAAAAACTTTGTTTCAGTTGTCTCTGACCTGTGGCATTTATATTTGACTTGCTGAAATGTAACAGGCTCCTTTACTTATTGAAGCAGAAATGTACAGTGTTTTCCATTAGGAGTGTATTAATTCTACTGTAACAGAATTACATCAGATTTGATTATAAAAATGTATTTATAATGAATGCCTAATGAGCCCCAAGTCTATTAAGCTGTTTTACAATTTAGCCCCATTACCAGACAAATGGATAAAATTAAGTTCACGTGAATGCAGTTCAGCTCTGTCTGCAACAGTATAATTTTGCAAATACATATGTGTGTTGGTTTGAAAGTAAAACCAGTGCGAGACTCCAAGTCAGTAA